CTCACTGCAACCTCTGCCTCCTGGGTTCAAGCAATTCTCCTGCCTCAGCCTTCCGAGTAGCTGGGATTACAGGTGTACACCACCATGTCCAGTGATTTTTTTGTATTTTTAGTAGAGATGGGGTTTCACCATGTTGCCCAGGCTGGTCTTGGTCTTGAACTCCTGACCTCGTGATCCCCCTGCCTTGGGTTCCCAAAGTGCTGGGATTACAGGCATGAGCCACTGCACCTGCCCCATCCTGTTTTCTTAACTTTTCAGCTAGAACTCTACTGGCTTTTGTCTTTCTTGTCTAGAATAGTCAAGAACAAGAGCTTTGGGGTTCAAATCCTGTCTCTGCCACTTACTAGCTGTGTGACTCAGAAAATTTAACCTTGTTGAATGTCATATTCTTTTGTAAAATGAGGATAACAGTGTCTACTTCATAAGTTGGTTGTGAACATTAACTAAGTTAGTGAAAGCTCCCAGCAACATATCTGATGTGAAGCAGAACTAGATTGTTTTTTAATCCTTTCTTTCTCAGTGATAAAACTATTCCCCTGCCTTATTTCTCCAATAAACTCCATACACCACCACCATGACTTACTTGTCTTTCTGAGATGATCACAGAACATTAATACTGTAAGAGTCCTAAATACTAGTTGGTTTGATTCCTTCACTTTGAAGATGAGGGAAACTGAAGCCAAAAGAGAGAAGGATTCCTGATTCCTAGGCCAGTGCTCTTTCAAATACTATTCAATATTTGATTTCTCTTCTGGTAACAAGACACCAACAATTATCTTTCCTACCACATGAAGTCCCACTTGTGAGCCATTCCTGTAGAGCAATGGTAGATTCAAGGAGGAGGGACATTGCTAGTGACAGGAGGGAACAGGTCATGTGCACTCACCTGCCCTGCCTGGATGACTGGGACCTGGTTCTGCATGGCTGTTCTTTGGGCTTGCCACACTGGCTGGAGGTACTCTGCGGGCAGCAGAAAGCACCATGTGGGCTGAACGCCCTAGAGTCCCTGGCTGCAGCTGTGTTAGGATATTCCTGAGGTCTGAAATTTCCTTGGTGTCCCTGCAGGGAAACAGAGAGCACTTGGTTCCACTTGGAACATAGATTCCCATTCTGCTCACTCTAGTCAATGGTATGTATTTAAGCAAGATAGGGTTAGGCCCAGAGTATGTGACAAATTTGGTGAATCCAGGCTGGGCTTGGTGCTTGTTAGTGACTTGATAGCCCTTTTTTTTTTTAGGAGAAAGATCTGAGAGGTGGCTTGGAGACATCCACTCTGTCAGGTACATACGCATGGGGATGTGGGAAGAATGTCCTCCGGATGGAAGGATTAGCTAGCCAGGGGCTAGGACCACACTCCTGAGCATCAGAAGAACCCTGAGGAAAAAAAAAAAAGGATATGAAATACCAATATTCACCACCAGGGGACACTGCTACCTAGTGCAGGGGCCTACTCAAACTATCGAACTTTTGGGGACGTTTATTTCATTATTTCCTTCTAAATATTATTTAATAATATGGTTTAGTATGATTCATTTTGTGAACAATTTTGCTAAACTGCAACTAAAAACCTACCAATTTTAGCCACAATTTCTAGCTATCTATGAAGAGATTTGTGTGTATGCATGGAGGCATATAGAAAGTGTGTCTCTAGCATTAACCACTGTATCTAACTATCACAGGGATTTTATAACCTTCTTGCTCCAGAAATGTCTACGTGCAATCACCTCCCAAGATAATTTCTGCATATCTTATTTTTATTGTAGCATGCTGGTTTCTTAATTCTTTGTCAAAATTCAATTTATCTGTGATTACACCCCTACTTTTTTAAAAAAGAGATGGGGTCTCCGCCCAGGTACAATGGCTCATGCCTGTAATGCCAGCACTCTGGGAGGCCAAGGTGGGAGGATTGCTTGAGCCCAGGGGTTTGAGACCAGCCTGAGCAACATAGTAAGACCCTGTCTATACAAAAATAAAAAAATTAGCCAGGCATGGTAGTGCATGCCTGTGGTCCTAGCTACTTGGGAGGCTGAGGTGCTAAGGTGGGAGGACTGCTTGGAATTCAGAAGCCAAGGCTGCAGTGAGCTGTGACTGCACCACTGTATTCCAGCGCAGGTGACAGAGCAAGACCCTGTCTCAAAAAAATAAAAAGAAGAAAAAAAGATGGGGTCTTGCTCTACCCAGGCTGGAGTGCAGTGGCAGGATCATGGCTCACTGTAGCCTTGAACTCTGGGGCTCAAGCAATCCTCTCATCTCAGCCTCTGGAGCAGCAGGCTCCTACCACCATGCCCAGCTAATTAAAAAATTTTTTTTTGTAGAGACAAGGTGTTACCATGTTGCCCAGGCTGGTCTCAAACTCCTGGGCTCAAGCAATTCTCCCTCTTTGGCCTCTCAAAGCACTGAGATTACAGGGATGTGCCATTTCACCTAGCCCCTATTATTATTATTATATATATATTTTGAGACAGGAGTCATACCCTGCCATTTAGGATGGAGTGCAGTGGATCACTGCAACCTCTGCTTCCCAGGTTCAAGCAATTCTCATGCCTCAGCCTCCTGAGTAGCTAGGATTACAGGTGTGTGCCACCGCACCTGGCTAATTTTTGTATTTTTAGTAGAGACAAGGTTTTGCCATGTTGGCCAGGCTGGTCTTGAATTCCTGGCCTCAAGTGATCTGCCTGTCTTGGCTTCCCAAAGTGCTGGGAATATAGGCGTGAGCCATCACACCTGACCCCAATTCCTTTTTTATTTATTGAAATTTCCTTTTTCCCCTTACCTTAAATTTTTTTTCTTTAATTTTCAACTCTGATTCTTCTATCACAGGTTATTTTAAAGGTAAATGTCTTTCTTGTAATGCATGACTTTGGCTTCATTCTACAAGCTTGAGTAGTATTTTCATTCACATTAACTCTTTAATATTTTCTAATTGCTATTACAATCTTTTCTTGGACCTAGCAATAATCTTGAAATATTTTGTTTAATTGTCCAGGTTTTTCTTTTCTTTAACTTGTCTCATGAATGTTACAGTGAATGCTACTAGAAAGGGTAACTAGATGTGTGTGTAGAGATAGTTTATTTACCCTTAAATCTAAATGAGATTATCAGGAAATTGTTAGGAAATGATTATTAGCTTCTGAGCAAAGGTTAGTTGCTATCAAGTGGCCTGGGTTCAAATCCACTCTAACACTTATTTGGCAGTGTGACCAAGGGTCACCCCACTAAATTTCTCCGTGCTGTTTTTCTTACTGGAAAACTGGTGATCATAATAACCCTATTTCACAGAGTTAAAAGCCCTATATTTTGCTTTCACTATAACCTATCAGTTAGAATGACTCATTAGAAAAAAAGTCTATGACATTTTAGGCATCCTAAATTATAAAACTGAGTGCCATTAATCTGTAATCCCAGCTTACATGTAGCATCTGTCTCTTGTTGAAATATTTCAGGACCTTCCTTCCCTACAGTTTCATGAGGTACCTACATGTATGTTTCACCCTGCTGTTGATGTTCAATGCCCTTCTGACATGGCTCTGCAGTTGCTGACTCCCTTCTACTTCCATTCTACCATGGTCCTAGAAGTGCAGAGCAATGTAATGTAGATGGCCAAAATGGAAAAGAACTCTGGGAAACTTTTATTTACCCTAAAACTGGGGTGAACATATGTACTAGTTTGCCTGGAACAGTCCTACTTTATATCTGTTGTCTTGGTACAATAATAATTATTTTTTGAGACAGGGCCTAACTCTTGTCATTCAGGTTGGAGTGTAGTGGCATGATCACACCTCACTGCAACCTTGATACTCTGGACTCAAGTGATCCTCCTACCTCAGCCTCCTAAATATCTGGATGACAGGCGTGGGCCACCATGCCTGGCTAATTTTTAATTTTTGTGTTTTTCAGACAGGGTCTTACTCTGTTGCCTAGGCTGGAGAGCAATGGCACAATCACAGCTTACTGCAGCCTTGAATTCCCAGGCTCAAGTGATCCCACCATGTCAGACTCCTGAGTAGCAGGGACTATAGGTGCATACCACCATTCCTAACTTTTTTTTTTTTTTTTTTTTTGTAGAGATGGGGTTTTGCCATATTGCCCAGGCTGGTCTCAAACTCCCGGGCTCAAGAGATCCATTCACCTTGGCCTCCCAAAGTGTTGGGATTACAGGCATGAGTCACTGTACCTAATTTTTAATTTTTTTGTAGAGGCTGGGTGTGGTGGTACACACCTGTAACATGAGCACATTGAGAGGCTGAGACAAGAGGACTGCTTGAGCCCAGGAGTTTGAGACCAGCCTGGGTAACATAGTGAGACCCTGATCTCTATAAAAAATAGAGGCAGAGGTTGCAGTGAGCCGAAATCATGCCACTGCACTCCAGCCTGGGCAGCAGAGTGAGACTTCATCTAAAATAATAATAATTATTATTATTTGGGTGTGCTAGTGTATACTTGTAGCTTCAGCTACTGGGAGGCTGAGGCAGGAGGACTGCCTGAACCCAGGAGGTGGAGGCTGTGGTGAGTCATGATCATGCCACTGCACTCCAGCCTGGATGACAGAGCAAGCCCCTGTCTCATAAATAAATAATAAATGAGATTTTTTTTGTGGACACAGCATCTCACTATGTTGCCCAAGCTGGTCTCAAATTTCTGGACTGAAATGATCCTCCCACTTTGGTGTCCACAAGTGCTAGAATTAAAGGCGTGAGCCACTGTGCCTGGCCTTAGTATAATTATTAATAGCACTCTCCTTTGCCCTTAAAGTGTCCTGGTTTGGATGATAAATTTTATGGTGACTCTATCTACAACGCCACTTTAAAAGGTCACTTATATAATGAACATTTACATTAAAAGGCTACTTTGCTCTGGGCAATGTTCTAGGTGCCAGGTATGCATTACAGAACAAGACAGACAGGTTTCTAATCTCATGGAGCTTCCATTTTATTGACTAGGCAGGATCACAGAGATCTAGCTCCACTCATGTCAGCTCCTAACACTGCAATAGTGGAACCTGGTAAAGCACACTGAATTGCCGCCATCAGTACTTTTATATTTTTTACCCCTTTCCACAATGGAAGAGTAGTTTCAGACCAAACCTGACTTTGTTTTAGTTCTCTGGATCTCTTCTAAAACTGCATGACAAAAGCATCTACTCCTGCTCTTTCTGCTCTGACTTCATTTTCTCTTCCCAATGCTGCCTCTTGTTTTTCTCAGGAACCTCAAAAGGAGTGACTCATGTGAAGTTAGCTCATGTGAACTGGGATTCTAGTGGTTGTGATAGGTTTAAAACTTCTAAGAAATGTATTGTGTGTGCAAGAGGCAGACTGTGTAGTGTAGGCAGAGAGTGTAGTGACAGGAGACCTAGTCCTTATGCTGCTCTGACTCACTGTATGACTTTGAACATACAGAAGTTTTCCTATCTGAGATGGAAAATGAGATGGTGGGGGCTGGATGATCTCTAAAATTCCATGACTCTAGCTTTGTATGATGAAGCACTCATTTTTTAGGAATGAAATATGATGGAGGGTACTGGTTTAGATAGATGAACAAGTATAACAAGAAAGCAAGAGGAAAGGAGTCAGAACAGGCTTAAGAAGAAAACAACAGGAGCCTGGTTGAGCAAATCAAAGTAAATTGATATAACCTCAGGGCTAGAAATCCATATATCTTATCTTAGGAATACAGGCATACCTCATTTTATTGTGCTTCATAGATACTGTGTGGTTAAAAAAAAAAGGACGGTCTGTGGCAATGCTATAAGTCTGTGAGCACCATTTTGCCAACAGTATGTGCTCACTTCGTGTTGCTGTGTCACATTTTGGTAATTCTCACATTTCAAATCTTCTCATTATTATTACATCTGTTATGGTGATCTGTGATCAGCGATCTTTAATGTTACTATTGTAACTGTTTTGGGGGTGCCATGAATTGTGCTCACATAAATGCTAAACTTTTTTTTTTTTTTGAGAGGCAGTCTTGTTCTGTCGCCAGGCTGGAGTGCAATGGCGCAATCTTGGCTCACTGCAACCTCCGCCTCCCAGGTTGAAGTGATTCTCCTGCCTCGGCCTCCCGAGTAGCTGGGACTACAGGTGTGCGCTACCATGCCCAGATAATTTTTGTATTTTTAGTAGAGATGGAATTTCACCATGTTGGCCAGGATGATCTCGAACTCCTGATCTCATGATCTGTCCGCCTCGGCCTCCAGAAGTGCTGGGATTAAAGGTGTGAGCCACTGTGCCCGGCAAACTTTTTTTTTTTTTTGAGACAGTGTATCTCTCTGTTACCCAGGCATGAATGCAGCGGCACTAATCATATCTCACTGCAACCTCAAACTCCTGGGCTCAGGTGATCCTCCTGTCTCAGTCCCAAGTAGTTGGGACTACAGATGTGTGCTACCGTGCCTGGTTAATTTTTTTTTTTTTTTAGAGATAGGGTCTTGCTATGTTGCCCAGGCTCGTCTTAAACACCCGACCTCAAGTGATTCTCCCATCGCACCCTTACAGGTATGAGACACTGTGCCTACCCTAAGACGGCAAACTTAATCGATAACTATTGTATGTGTTCTGAGTGTTCCACTGACTGGTCATTCTCCTGTCTCTCTCCCTCTCTTCAGGCCTCCCTACTCCCTGAGATACAACAACATTGAAATTAGACCATTTAATAACCCTACAATGGCCTCTAAGTATTCAAATGAAGTGGAGAGTGGCATGTCTCTCACTTCGTGGTTGCAGGGAGCAGATGAAAGTTCTGTCCAGGGGCCAGGAAGAATGGCCCACATCAATCTGTAGGAAAGCACAGCCACAAAGAGAAGGATAAGAGGGATGAGATGACTGCCTTAGTAAGAAAGCCATGGCAAAGGCCAACACAGGCTAAAGCTGGCCTCCTGTGGGAAACAGCCAAGTGGTAAATGCAAAGAGAAAGTTTTGTTTTGTTTTGTTTTAAGACAGGGTCTCACTGTCACCCAGGCTAGAGTGCAGTGGTGCAATCTCAGCTCACTGCAACCTCCACCTCCCAGGTTCAAGCACTTCTCCTGCCTCAGCCTCCCGAGTAGCTGGGACTATAGGTGCACACCACCACACCCGGCTAATTTTTTGTATTTTAGTAGAGACAAGCTTTCACAGTATTGCTGAGGCTGGTTTCGAACTCCTGACCTCAGGCAATCCACCCGCCTTGGCCTCCCAAAGTGCTAGGATTACAGGCATGAACCACCATGCCTGGCCAATTTTTGTATTTTTTTGTAGAGATGGGGTTTTGTCATGTTGCCCTGGCTGGTCTTGAACTCTTGGGCTCAAGGAATCTGCCTGTCTTGACCTTCCACAGTGCTAGGATAACATGAGGGAGCCACCATACCCAGCTGAAAAAATTCTTGAAGGAAATTAAAAGTGCTACTCTAATGAACACATGAATGATAAGAAAGCGAAACAGCCTTATTGCTGACATGGAGAAAGTTTTAGCAGTATAGGTAGATCAAATCAGCGATGATATACACTTAACCAAAGCCTAATCTACAGCAAGGCCCTAACTCTCTTCAATTCTGTGAAGGCCAAGAGACATGAGGAAGCTGAAGAGAAGTCTAAAGCTAGCAGAGATTGGTTCATGAAGTTTAAGGAAAAAAATCCATCTCCTTAACATTAAAGTGCAAGGTGAAGCAGCAAGTGCTGATGGAGAAGTTACAGCAAATTACCCAGAAGATCTCGCTAAGATCACTGATGAAAGTGGCTACACCAAACAACAGGGTTTCAATGTAGATGAAACTGCCTTCTATTGAAAGAAGATGCCACCTAGGACTTTCATAGCTAGAGAAGATAAGTCAATGCCTGGCTTCAAAGCTTCAAAGGACAAGCTAACTCTCTCCTTAGGGTTAATGCAGCTGGTGACTTTAAGTTGAAGCCAATGCTGTTTTACCATTCTAAAAGTCCCAGGGCCCTTAAGAATTATGCTGAATCTATTCTGCCTGTGCTCTATAAGTGGAAAGACAAAGTCTGGATGACAGCACATCTGTTTACAGCATGGTTTCCTGAGTATTTTAAACCCACAGTTGAAAGCTAATACTCAGATTTCTTTTCAAAACATTTCTGCTCACTAGTAAGGTACCTAGTCAGCCAAGAGCTCTGATGGAGATATACAAGGAGCTTAATGTTGTTTTCATGCCTACTAATATAACATCCATTTTGCAGCCCATGTATCAAGGAGTAATTCAACTTTCAAGCATTACTATTTAAGAAACATATTCTGTAAGGGTATAGCTGCCATAGATGTTGATTCCTCTGATGGATCTAGGAAAGTAAATGAAAATCTTCTGGAAATAATTTACCATCTTGGATGCCATTAAGAATACTGGTGATTCACAGGAGGAGGTCAAAATATCAATATTAACATAAGTTAGGACGAAGTTGATTCCAACTCTCCTGGTGGGCTTTCAAGACTTCAGTGGAGGAAGTAAATGAACTAGGCCGGGTGCGGTGGCTCATGCCCACAATCCTAGCACTTTGGGGGGCTGAGGGGGGTGGATCAGTTGAGGCCAGGAGTTCGAGACCAGGCTGGCCAACATGGTGAAACCCCATCTTTACTAAAATACGAAAAATAAGCTGGGTGTGGTGGTACGCACCTGTAATTCCAGGTACTCGGGAGGCTGAGGTGGGAGAATTGCTTGCACCCAGGAGGCAGAGGTTGCAGTGAGCGAGATTGTGCCATTGCACTCCAGCCCTGAGCAACAGAGCAAGACTTTGTCTTGGAAAAAAAAAAAAAGAAATAGTAAGAGAACTAAAATAGAAATGGAACATGAGGATGTGACAGAATTACTGCAATCTCAAGATAAAACCTGAACAGATGAGGAGTTGCTTCTTATAGATGAGCAAAGTGGCTTCTTGAGATGAAATCTACTCCTGGTGAAGATGCTGTGAACATCATTGAAATGATAAAAAAAGATTTAGAATATTACATAAATTTAGTTGATAACGCAATGGCTGTGTTTGGGAGAATTGACTCAAATTTTTAAAGAAGTTCTACTGTGGTTAAAATGCTATCAAATGGCATCAATGCTACAGAGAACTCTTTCATGACAGGAAGAGTAGACTGAGGTGGCAAACTTCATTGTCTTATTTTACAAAATTGCCACAGCCAGCCCAACCCTCAGCAGTCACCACCCTGATCTGTCAGCAGCTATCAACACTGAGGCAAGATTCTCTACCAGCAAAAAGATCATGACTCGCTGAAGGTTCAGATAATTGTTGGCTTATATACACTGAAAAACCAAAGACTGTGTGTGACTTGTTTTATTGCCATGATCTGGAACCAAATCTGGAACATCTCCAAGGTGTGTCTGTACATGTGTGTTGTACAGGGAGGAAAGCAGGGGAACAAATGGAACTGCAAAGCACACATGTAAAGATATAACTTTGTAAGGTAATAATGACAGAGAAACTACACAGGAGATTTGGGACTTTCAGTGTTCGAAGGAAAAGTCTGATAAAAGCTACAGTCACCCAATAACTTAGAAAGAAAGTATGAAGTTAAGTTTGGATCCAAGAGTAATTTATTTAGGCTAAGGAGTAAATGGTCCAGAAGCTTTGTGTATGCTATATCCAAGACTCACTCACTTGCATATTCCACCTGTGAGAGAGGGAAGGAGAGGAGTTCACTCCTACCTGTAAGAAAGGGTATCAAGCCCACTGATGCTTGTATTTGTGTGTGTGTGTGTGTGTGTGTGTGTGTGTGTGTGTGTGTGTGTGTGTGTGTGTATCTATGCCTCAAACAAGCACCAGCTTCTTAACCAGAAACCTGAAAAGGAAGGGAAAACATTAAATCCTCACTCCACCATCATACATACCTGGTTCAGCACAGAGCTCACAAGGGCTGAGGGACCCTCCACAGGAACATCTAAGGAATCCAGAGAAGAACGCACCCGTAGAAAGGCCAGGCCAAAGGACTGATGACGTGTGAAGGGTTGGGAGCAGGTCAGGCGAAGTCGATCCCATGACTCTCCGGAGGCTGGAGCCAGGAAGTCAACTCAAGGAAAAAAGAGACAGAAAATTGGAGGAATGGAAATGCGTAAATGGGAGAGAAAGAGGAAGAAAAGGTCAAAACTAAGGAAAGGAGCTATAGGGAGTAAACTCCAACAAAAGGAAGGAGGAGGTCATCAGTAAATGTCCCCTTAGGCTTGGGTGCTCAGGGTATGGTAATGCCAAGCAGACCAGTCAGGGCTCCTCATATCCAGTCCCTTGCCTTCCCACCATCACTCCTCTGTCACAGTTCCACACTATTCCCAGCATGAATTCTATACCTCTCCAGGGACCTCATCAATATCTCATTTTAAGAAGAAGTTATCTGTAGAGTAGGGGCCCAGTGGATTAGCTGAGATATATATTGACCTTCCTTGGGTCATAAGACCTCAACCTCCCTCGCACCACCACGTGCTCCACATGCTAACAGTATCACACTCTGATATCACAAACCCCAAACATCTTTAGTTCCTAACACTGTCCAGTCAGTACCTCGATTCCTCCAAATCATATGCCCTTCCAATGTCACTCTTTCTTTACAATATTACAAATATTTCCAACTTAAAAATGGACAAATCCTTATGAAACTATACATCCCTAGAGGCTGGGAATCAGATCTTATATTTCTTCTGTAGTGCCTAGTGAACAGAGATTTGTATAAACATTATATGCCACATAACAATAACCACTATGTAGCCTTCCATTACTTACATCAACATCTATCCTACATCCACACTTACACACACAAAAACATATTATTATTATTATTATTTTGAGACAGTTTCCCTCTTGTCACCCAGGCTAGAGTGTAATAAATGGCATGATCTTGGCTCACTGCAACCTCTGCCTCTCAGGTTGAAGCAATTCTCCTGCCTCAGCCTCCTGAATAGCTGAGATTACAGGTGCCCACCACCACGTCTGGCTAATTTTTGTATTTTTAGTAGAGATGGGGTTTCATCATGTTGGCCAGGCTGGTCTCGAACTCCTGACCTCAGATAATCCACTCGCCCTGGTCTCCCAAAGTGCTAGGATTACAGGTGTGAGCCACCATGCCTGACCACAAAAACATATTAATCAATAAGTGTGTGTGTTCTATATATTGGGCCCTACCGAATCCCATGTATAAATATAAATAGTTCATAAATCATCTCCCCAGCTAGCACACATCCTTACCATACAGATCTCACACACAAGCACACCATTCCTTAACCACCCTTTGCCCCAACAGATGTAATTAAGCCCCTGCACAGGCTCCCTCCCACAGTCTACAACCTAATAGAACCCACAGCTCTTTAGTACTGCATCTCTGTTTCTCATAAAGACCACCCTGCTCCGCTCTTCTCTGCATTTGCCCTCTTTACCATCTTTAAACATGCGGACCCTGGAGCGGTTCTTCCCCTGCTTTGAATCAGTCAGAGACATTAGCATGGTTGCAGGGAGCAGGGTGACAAAAGGTCTGTCCAGAGGCCAGGAAGAACGGCCCACATCAATTTGCAGGAATGCACAGCCACAGTTACCTGGGGACAAAAGGTTGAGAGAAGGGTAAGAGGGATGAGATGACTAAAGACAAAGGAATAGGGTGGAAGGAGGACATTACTCTACTTTATAGCTAGTTGAAAGCCAGAAAGGTTCAGCGATTGTGGAGTCCCACAGGGAATCACTGACTGTAGTGGAATGAGACTGCAGTCCACTAAATACCAATGTCACACATTTACCATGTTCCTCCCAGCCAAAAACCTTCCCCTGATTAAAGAGATTTGTTGCTTCTCTGTCTTCTGGCCCTGGTGGACAGCACTAAATTCTGTCTCTCTTAATTCCTTTCTAGGGAGTCTGACATCTCTCTGTCCTGACAAAACTGAGACCAGTGGACTTGATGTTCTAGATTCCAGAGAATTCTAAGGTCAATCTTCTCAATCCATAAACTCCTTTTTAGCCTTCTCAGATTATCCTTGCACAGGTCATCTCTCTAGCATCCTCCTGATACTGATATTTACAGGCGTATGCAGGTTTTATTTGTTGGGATTTTTATTTATTTATTTATTTATTTATGAGACAGAGTCTCGCTCTGTTGCCAGGCACCAGGCTGGAGTGCAGTGGTGTGATCTCGGCTCACTGCAACCTCTGCCTCCCTGGTTCAAGCCATTCTCCTGCCTCAGCCTCCCGAGTAGCTGGGACTACAGGCGTGTGCCACCATGCCCAGCTAATTTTTGTATTTTAGTAGACATGGGGTTTCACTATGTTGGCCAGGATGGTCTCGATCTCCTGACCTTGTGATCCGCCCACCTTGGCCTCCCAAAGTACTGGGATTACAGGTGTGAGCCACCGTACTCGGTCCTATTTTTATTTTTTGAGACAGGGTCTCACTGTTGCCCAGGCTGGAGTGTAGTGGCGTCATCACAGCTCACGGCACGCTTGACCTCCTGGGCTCAGGCGATCCTCCTACCTCAGGCTCTCATGCAGCTAGGACTACAGGCGTGTACCACCAAAGCTGGCTAATTTTTGCATTTTTGGTAGACGCAGGATTTTGTCATGTTGCCCAAGCGGATCTCAAACTCCTGGGCTCAAGGGATCCTCCCACCTTGGCCTCCCAAAGTGTTAGGATTACAGGCATGAGCCACTGTGCCCGGTCGGGATTTATAATTATGTCAGTGTTCTAAGGTTTTACCCAGACCACTCAGATCAAAGCATGATAGTTATGTTGCATAATTCGAGGAGCACCATTCACATTGTACTCCACGTGAATAGAGCCCTTGGAGTTCGCCACACAGATCTGCTCCAAGGGCAAGGGCCACATTTCCTTTTGACACCTAGGCAAAACTTACTCCATAAATGCTGCTCAGCTGGAATGAACTGAGACATGTTAGTGGAGTGGTTAGAGGGGAATATCACTCCTGTGTTCTTCCTCAGAGGTTCCTAGGCCACAGAGAACTCACCCACATCAATGTAGCCAATGGGCACTGCCCTCTCCAGCTGTAGTTCCACTTTCAGTTGCCCACTTTTGTCCTGAGGGCAGCTGAGCCAAGGTCGCCTTGGACTGTCTGGGTTTAGCAAGTTCTCTACAGGATATCTGGGATCCTAAGTAAGAGAGAAGGAGAAAATCAGGAATCTCACTGAGCTCAAGGGAAGAAGGATGCCCACAAATGAGGGATCCCTATAATCTCAAACCTTCCCAGTCATCCTAACATGAAAGAAAAGGCACTAGATGGGAGGCCATAGGAATACTGTTATCATGTGCCAAGCGGTTTACAGATACCATTTGCCTCTATCCTATTTACCAGACGACCTCATTTAATCTTTGTAACAACTCTTAGGTGGTTATATTACTTCCAAGTTAACAGATCTATATTGAAGCTTAGAGAGGTTCAGAAACTTACTGAAGGCCACAGGCTAAATAACCAAGCAAAACAGAATTCCCAGGTTTCTAAAAGCAGAGCTCTTAATCACCATGTTATACTATTTCATTTATAAGATGTTTTCAAGGACATTTATTTATCTTTATAGTTATCCTGTGAGATAAGAAAGTCAAAGATCTTTATTCTAAGTTTATAAATGATACTTAGATGTAAAGTGATTAATAAAGTCTAATTAGTGATCTTGAAATATAAATTCTGAGTTCTAACCTAAAGTCAGATATTTTTTGGTTGAGAGATCTTGAGTAAACAACTTTCCCTCTCTGGGTCTAAATTTCTTTCTTTCTGTAATCTCAGTTATTTGAGAGGCTAAGGCAGGAGAATCGCTTGAACCTGGAAGGTAAAGGATGCAGTCAGCTGAGGTTGTGCCACTGCACTGCAGCCTGGATGACAGACTGAGACCCTGTCTCAAAAATAAAATTAAAAAAAAAAAAATTATTTCTTTTCGGCCGGGCGCGGTGGCTCAAGCCTGTAATCCCAGCACTGTGGGAGGCCGAGGCTGGTGGATCACGAGGTCAAGAGATCGAGACCATCCTGGTCAACATGGTGAAACCCCGTCTCTACTAAAAATACAAAAAATTAGCTGGGCATGGTGGCGCATGCCTGTAATCCCAGCGACTCAGGAGGCTGGGGCAGGAGAATTGCCTGAACCCGGGAGGCGGAGGTTGCAGTGAGCCGAGATCGCGCCATTGCACTCCAGCCTGGGTAACAAGAGCGAAACTCCGTCTAAAAAAAAAAAAAAAAAAAAAAAATATTTCTTTTCTTTTTTTTTTAGAGACAGGTCTTGCCCAGGCTGGAGCGCAGTGATACAATCATGGCTCACTGCAGCCTCGAATCCCTGGGAGGATCACTTGAGTGATCCTCCTACCTCAGCCTCCCGAGTAACTGGGACGACAGGTGTGTGCCACCATACCTAGCTAATTTTTATTTTTGTTTTTAATTGAGATAGGGTCTTGCTCATTGCCCAGGGTACAGTGCAGTGGCACAATCACAGCTCAACGCAGCCTTAACTTCCCAGGGTCAGGATACTCCCACCTGTCTCCCGAAGAGCTGGGACTACAGGTGCATACCAGCACACCCGGCTAACTTTTGTATATTTTGTAGAGATGGGGCTTCACCATGTTTCCCAGGCTGGTCTTGAACTCCTGGGCTCAAGCAATCTGTCCGCCTCAGCCTCCCAAAGTACCGGGATTACAGGTGTGAGCCACTAGACCTAGCTAATTTTTAAATTTTTTGTAGAGATGAGGTCTTGCTATATTGCTCAGGCTGGTTTCCAACCCCTAGCCTCAAGCTATCCTCCCACCTCAGCCTCCCAAAGTGTTGGGATTACAGGTATGAGCCCTGTAATCTAAATGTCTTCATCCATAAGTAAAAGAGGGAGACCAGCCTCATGGTTTTCAACCTTGTTTTTGTGTTAGCAATAAAACCCTTTTAACTGAAATCTTACACTGATGTGTGTGTGTGTATGTGCATGTGTGTGTGCATTTTTTTTTTTTTTTGGTAAATAAAAGGAGAGCTCTGGTTAAATCACAGGTGGGGAGGACTAGAGACATACGTGTCCCCCTCTCCCTTTCAACTCACTGAAGTGGGTCTCTACAGAGTACAGCTGAAAACCACAGAGTTTGAAATTAGCTAATGTTCTCTAGCATTTTATAAGGCTAAGAGTCTATGAAGCGGCCAGGCGCAGTGGCTCATGCCTATAATCTCAGCATTTTGGGAGGTTAAGGTGGGCGGATCACGAGGTCAGGACTTCAAGACCAGCCTGCCCAACACAGTGAAACCCCAGCTCTACTAAAAATATAAAAATTAGCTGGGCATGGTGGCGCACACCTGTAGTCCCTGCTACTCTGGAGGATGAGGCAAGAGTGTTGTTTGAAACAGGGAGGCGGAGGTTGCAGTGAGTTGAGATCATGCAGCTGCATTCCAGCCTGGGCAACAGAGCGAGACTCCATCTCAAAAAAACAGTCTATGAAGCAAATTGTTTAGCCTGACCATGCAGGTAAGGAGGATAAGCAAAATATTAATTTTATTTTACTTAGAATAGGGGTTAATATATTAGTTCCTAAAGATCCTCTAAGGGTCTTTCTTTTTCTTTTTTTCATACAAGGTCTTGCTCTGTTGCCCAGGCTGGAGTGCAGTGGCACAGTCATGGCTCACGGTTAGCCCTGACCTCCAAGGCTCAAAGCAATTCTCCCACCTTGGCTTCCTAAGTAGCTGAGACCACAGGCACATGCTATCACACAGGGCTAATTCTTTATTTTTTTGTAGAAATGGGGTCTCCCTGTGTTGCTCAGCCTGACCTTGAACTCCTAGACTCAAGAGATCCTCCTGCCTTGGGCTCCCAAAGTGTGGAACTACAGGCATGAATCACCGGTGCCTGGTCTAAGGATCTCCCTGAAATGTGTGGGAGATGTTTTTGACAGTCACAATGACTAGGAAACCAGGGGGCAAGGGATGCTAAACATCCCATCATGCAAATGAAATTGCTACGAAATACAGACTTATGCCCCTAAATGCCAATGGCAGCCCTTGAGAAAGACCAGGGTAACAGAAGGGGGAGAGGGGGAGTAGGGGTAAACAGATAGAGCAGTGACAGAAGAGGAAAAGGTAGGAAGTCCCTAAGAATCACATCAGATCAGGCCTGGACTCAGGGCCTAGGATCTAGCTCTAATTTGGATATTGTAGAACTTTTAGGAAGGAGGCTGAGATCACACTTGATGGTGGTGATAACCTCGCAGGTCTGGGATTACCTCAAGTGTCCTGCCCTGTTCTCAATGATAGAATGATCAAACTCCCCTTCTGAGGATCCTGTTGCAGTTTCTGGGCCTACAGCTTTGCCAGCGCCCTTCAAACTGGGTGGAATCCTGAGGGTGCTGCTTTCTGTACTTTCCACTTCTGAGAACACTTCTTTTCACTTCCTGTACTTCTATGGGAACAACCTGAGGACAAGAGCTGTTTCTTCTCTTAGACTCTGAACTCACAATGTCTCTTCTATTAGATTGGGAGTTTTCTGAAAGTGGAGCCAAGACTCCTATTTTTTTCACTCCTTTCAGTTATCAAGAAAACAAATCATGCCTGTTGATTAAGATACCTGAGAAGAAAATGATACCACGTGGCTGATCTTCACAGGAGCCATGGTGGGCCCAGCACGGTGTCAAGTACAAGCAAAAACGCTTTCTCCCAAGATTTCTTCTGTCACCACTTTGGCACTGACTATGTGTTAGCTTCCAGAAAAGCAACAATCCTCACATTACTCCTGAAATAGAGAACAGAAGAAAAATAAAATAGCCATGGCTATAATAACAGGAGTTATTTGCAGCAGTCAGTCCACTTCTGATGACCAACATGGGCCTGGTGGGAGTGGTGGGAGGGAGTAGGTTTGGATCAGCTGATGAGGCTCCAACAAACATGAAATAACTCAAATGCAACCAGAAGGCAACACAGCAGCAAGTACAAAATAATATATTAAGATGTTAATGTTGGATTTATATATAGGTGAGCTCTCAAGGGCATGAATTGTGCCTTAAATTGTACACCTTTGTATCACTAGAGCCTAGTGCATAGTAAAGATAGGCAACAAATGTTCAACTAAATATACGATACAACTCTTTTTTTCTTCTTCTCCTAAAATGAATCTTCCTAAATTTAGCTTTTCATGAAGTTATTCCTCTACTAGACATCTTGAATGACTTGCTGCTTTATGCAAAACCCTTGCTAAGCCGGGTGTGGTAGCCTGTGCCTATAGTCCTAGTGACTCAGGAGGGTGAGGCAGGAAGATCACTTGAGCCCAGGAGTTGGAGGGTGCAGTGAGCCATGACGGTGCCACTGCATTCCAGCCTGGGTGATAGAGTGAGACCGTAACTCTAAAAAAAAAAAAAAAGTTCTTGTGAGTATTTGTACTTCGTGTTTTGCTAAACATTTTATCTAAGTTTAAATATGCAAAAACACACATATTAGTATAATGAGCTCATGCATCCATCACCTTGTTTCAACAATTCCTTGGTGAGAGGAGTTTTAAAGTTGTCTGAGAGTCTTTAGAGAATCTCTCTTCAAATATTTATCCCTGTCCATTTTATTCATGTTTATTACCCATCTGGCTCCTGAAAATATGAGTCCGTGACTCTTGATATACTCCTGGCCATAATGGTCTTTTTGCTTACCCTTCCCACCAAAAGTTTTTTCCCTTTTCTCCAAGATTTTGCTCATGCCATTGCCTCTGCTTGGAATGTTCTTTCTTCTTCCCACTTAGCAAATCTAATGCATCTTTGGTGCTCAAATGTTATCTCTCCTCTGCTTAAACAGCTCAGAGTGACAGCTCCATCCTGTCAATTCTCACTTAGCCTTTAACAGAGTGCCTCATATTATAGTTATATGGGTATACATCTTCTTGACTCTTGACAAACTGTAAGATCTTGGAGGACAAGTTTCATGTCTGATTCATTTCTGTGTGCCCAACATAAAAGGGAGAAGATAGTTCCTGATTTGCAAATGTCTGTTGAATGAATGACCATAAAAATTGTGCTCCAAAGGGCTCACAGTCATAAAGCATTCAAAATGGGGTAGATTACAGCAACAGCAGTAACAAACCCTTAGTAATGCCATCTGAATGTCAAGCACTCCTCACAGGCCATAGTCCGTACAGTATTAAGGCTTCAAAGACAGAAGAATGAAGGATGAGTCCTGAGTCTCTTCCCTAGGGCTCAGATTAATTAGGGCTCACTGTTCCTGCTATAGGAACTCACTGGGAACACAAAAATCTTTCCTTATCTCTGCTAGATTTTGGAGATATAAAAATAAATAAGGCATAGTCTCTGTTTTGAAGAAACTCACAGTATATTTTTGTGATTTGATGTGAAAAACTCCACCATCTCTCATCATCAATGAACACTCAGACCAGGCACAGTAGCTCATGCCTGTAATCCCAGCATATTGGGAGGCCAAGGAGGGTGGATATCTTAAGCCTAGGAGTTTAAGAGTAGCTTGGGCAACATGGTGAAATCTCGTCTCTACAAAAAAAACCAAAAAACAAAATAATAAAACCCAAAATTAGCCAGATGTGGTGCATGTGCCTGGAGTCTGAGCTACTCAGGAGGCTGAGGCAGGAGGATTGCCTGAGCTTGGGAAGCAGAGGTTGCAGTGAGCTGAGATCTCACCATTGCATTCCAGCCTGGGAGGCAGTGAAACCCTGTCTCAAAAATAAATAAATACATAAATAAACATATTTGGCTTGGCAATTCTGAAGCTGTCAATCTTGGATATCTCATTCAGTTAGTATTTTGGTGGGTATCTAGTAGGTACCAGGCACTGTACTAGGTGCTAGATACACA